ATAGCCACATGTGCTTTGTTGCCCTAGAAGACGCAGTGATCTAGGTTACGGAGCTATCTTCGACCATTGTCCAAAAACGTCTTGGCGTGCCCATGTTAGCAGCGACGGCAAAAAGGTGACAAGATTAGGGGATAAAAGCCAAACAGGCAAACAATCATCTAGTCTGGGGGTGACCGCGCAGGGTTTTGTACGCCGGAGTTAAATCGATAAATCGATTGATTGAGTTCCCATCCGTAGATCAGGCTTCAATAAATTCTCCGTTCGTCTTGTTTCCGGTGTGGGTAATTATCTCGACGGCTGGCCGTAGGTGCGGACAACAACCTGCGGTAATTCGCAGCCTAGTCACCTGATCAATCGATTTATGGATTTAGTGACGTTAGCAGCAACAGCAGTGGTCTGGATGATCTATATTCTACCGCCTCGCAGGGACCTGGCTTTCAGGTACTTAAAACTTGCCACTTCTGTCGGCTAACGGCCCCGTCAGATATACGGACCGCGAAAATTTTGCTTTTCATATAGTCTATAGCTACACCAATCGGCCTAACGATTATGTTAATTTGAGACGCCAGAATGGAACGCTGGCAGAGCAATATCTGCATAACCGTGACCGGTAATTCAACGACCCGGGACAAATTCAAAATGTGAGATCTATGACCAGTATCTTTAAGCATTCACCAAATATCGGCAAATGGCAGATCGAATATCAAGAAGGCTTTATGCACCCGGACTTACGCAGTAGTGTAATCGTTGTAGACGCTGAGTACAGAGGCAAGTTTTGATGATGAACACAAGGACTCCTGATAAACACCATACGGTGCTGTAACGAGAAAACAGTGAGTTGGACTTCGACGATGTGACACAGTATTAGTGATGGTGGAAAACCCACAAAATACTTTCTTTTTCTCCATTGAATCTGTACGCATCTGAATAATAATAATTCTTCCCTATCTCCACACACTAGCTCCTCCGCTGGTTTCTCGTTTCGAAGAGACCTTCAGAACGACCGAAGGCTATGAGTTGAAAGCAGTGTGCCGCTCGCCTAGTCTGCCCCTACCCGCCTCTGCGCGGTGGTTCAAGGTCGACGAGTCTCTCAACTTGGTGCCCGTTCCAAGCGTGAGTCTTTCCTATTAACTTTAAAGTCAAACCAACCATCTGTGCGTCCAGTGCCAACTATGTATAATCGACTGACCAAGCCCAAGTACTTAGGAATGGAAGAAAGGAAACATTGTTCAGTTCAAAAACAATAAGCCTTTAATATGTTTTCTCATAGTGCCACCGGCATTACTGTGCTGTTCGACTGAGCTGCGTCCTGTCACCCAGTCTGTTTAACTATGTCACTCTCTGGATTCCCGGAAAGACCCACATGGTTT